CCCCAGGCCCCGCAATACAGTAAAACTGCACATTTTAGAGTGGCCTTTTATTGTGGCCAGCCCAAGGCACACCTGTGCAATAATCATGCTGTATAATCAGCATCTTGATATTCCACACCTGTGAAGTGGATGGATTATCTCGGCAAAGGAGAAGTGCTCACTAACACAGATTTAGATAGATTTGTGAACAATATTTGAGAGAAATAGGCACATAGAAAAAGTCATAGATCTTTGAGTTTAGCTCATTGAAAAATGGGGGCAAACACAAAGGTGTTGCGTTTATAATTTTGTTCAGTGCAGTTACTCTAGATGACATAGCCCCGGCCTCCAGTACTACTGTGAGGAACCTTGGAGTCATTTTTGACCAGGACATGTCCTTTAAATCACACATAAACCAAGTCACTAGAACTGCCTTGAACTCTCTGTTTGATTGTTTGTTGTGTCTTGTTGATGTTTCAGACCAGTTTCCCATTGTTGCCCTTCCACCTAAAAAGTCTCACCCAAATATGAGACCATAAAAACATATCCCTGGCATCTGGAACCACACTGACATCATTATTAGTTTGAATACAAGAAAAACAATTTTTCACTAATGGTGGTTTTGCAGCGCAGTAACTGTTGAAGATGCATCAAATCTGTTGACACTTGCTCAGTCAGCAGAGCTTCAGCTAGAATTTGATCTTAGTTACAACTCTGTAGCTTTATGTATTTCTCACAGGAGCCAGTTTTCTCTGATCTCTATAAATGTGAACATTCTGGATCAGCAGCTCTAGGACGTTACATGGATCCAGCTCAGACATTGTTGTGAGGTAGATCTTATGGGGATGTTACTGACCAGTTTTGCCCAAGCACTGCGTATGGAGTCAGAAGCAGACATATTAAAACTGGCTCTATCACACAGTGGTGAAGGATACTTTTAAAAAAAAAATCCTGGATCTGGATGATTATCTGTATCAGAACCAAATTCTAGTGGATTGTTCAGTGGGGCACATCCTACCACTCCAAAACATTTCAGGAGTTCTCAACATTTATAATTTTATTACTGGATTTTCTGGATTATTTCCAATCTGACCATTTTAAGTGTTTGGACTGTGGCCTATTTGGTTGGCTAAAGATCTGGTTAGACATCATTAATTGGTGAAACTATTTTAAGTTTAATTATATAATACTGTGTTAACCCCTTTATTTATTGAAAGGTGTAGTGAGATCTCATCAGTTGGTCAGAAATTCGATGTATCTGTGAATCTATAACAGTAACCTGCGACTGACCAGTTTCTGAGTTATTGTTTATCAATAAAAATGATAATAACAGTATGGACCTGTCGAGGTGCAGAACTCTCTGTCCGACTCTGGAACAGGCAGCCGCTACCACCGACTCAGCAAGACCTGAACACACAATCAATAATCAGCCAGCAATAACCAATAAAGAGAAAGAGAAAGCAGGAGACAAGGAAACAGGGAGAGGAAGATGACTGAAGGGTAAAACATTGCTTTCCCCCCTCCCCTTCCATCTGTCTTTGACCTCACTCACCCAAGGTTCCATCTCATTCTGTTGCCAGCTGAGACAATGAAGAACTGATTTATGTTAACACACACACACACACAGATGCTCTGATGATGTTCAGCTGCTTCTCTACCACCACACACACACCTTCATTATTGTGCTCAAGATTAAGATCTATGCTACAGAATAAAAGCGTTCAGTTGCTAACACACAGTATATACACTACAGTCGGTGACAGCCACACACAAAGACGCTACAACCTCCTGACAGCAGCAGAACAGGAAGAAGCATCTCTATTGTATTGGAATGATTAGGGTTGGGTATCATTTGTTTGTTTTTTATACTGGTACCTAAACGGTAAGAGAACCAATAATACCTAAATATTATGATAAAAATATAGGCTATATATAAAAAATGATATAAAAACACTTCCTGAAGGTTAATGTTGAGGCCATTACACACATTGTGGTTTGACTGTCAGTTTTGACATAGTTCTTGTTTCATTCTAATAAATTAACAGCAGATAAACGCAGTTAGCACCGGTGAGGCTGATAATACCTTAGCCTCCACTCATCTATGCTGTTTTCAACTATGCTAACTGTTAACGTTAGCGTTATAGCAACATCATGTGATAGCTGCAACACAAGGCGCTAACGTTAGCATCAGGATAAAACCCTGAGCAGTAAAAAAAACAGGTTATACTAAACTAATGGAAATAACGCTACCTGTGGAAACATCCCCATTAGACCCGGTGCAAATATAAACAAATGACGACACTGACAAGAGCTGTATCACTGCACTCCTCTGTTCGTGTTTGTTATTTACAACAGCTAACACAACAGCCCGGGCGTTAGCTGCTAGCTGCCGTCACTGAAAATGAACTGGCCCTTACCCGCTAGCTAACCGAGTCTGTTTCCCCGATTGGAACGGGTTTAAACCAGAATTCCAAAACCGTTTACACCGAAATGTTACCAGACTGAAAAGGGGCACGTCCACGCTCACGACACGGATCGTAATGTTAAATTAAAAAAAAAAATCAGGTGTTTGCTTACCTGTGCCCAGGATGACGATGTCAAATTCAGACGGCAGATCCTCGGCAGCCATGGTGTTAGCAAGCAGACAAGGTCATGTGACAGGGACTGATCAATCGATCAGTCAGACATAATAGTGGAGAATTGTAATTTTCCGGGAAATAGTGAGTCCACAATATGGAGGTCCCCCAGTTGTCTCTGTCCTATGGAGTAACAAGAGACTGACTGCAGCTCAGACAGAAAACAACGGAAGAAGCTTGGTGTCCAGACAGGATAGTGTAGCCTACATCCCAGAGGCAGGTCTACATAGATTTAAATTTTATTCCTTCATCCAACTTCACTGATTAAAGCTAAACCTTGACACGTTGTTCTTGGGTAAGTTTGTAATGGTTTTAAGGGTTAATGTTTCCATTCAGATTGTTGGCAGAAAACATGTTAGGGTCAAGTAGAGGAAAAGCAGAGGTGTCTATGTCTGATTCCAGTTCTCTGGGCTTGTGAAAAAGTGTTCATGGGAAGTCCATGGGTGTCGAGGGCTGTCCAAATCCACACTTCACAAGAGGCTCAGGTAGACTCTCAGAATCCTCTTGAAGTGCAGACTAGACTACCCTTAATCCACAGCTACATGGACTTAATCTAAATAAATAATATGCACCACAATTACAGTGAAGACCTTTGCTTTTTTAATGCAGTAAGACTCCATATTGCATAGACAACATGCAAACCATCTGGAACTGATGCAGAACCTGGAGACGTCACACAGCCAGGTGCTGCAGAGGCTGAAGTTCACACTCTGCTTCCTATTGGACACCGTGCATTGTTTATAATAATGTCACACTCCAATGTGTTTGCTTCTTCCGTGTTCCATCAGATCCCAGCAGTCTGTTACTGGTCTCCTCACTCTGTCAGCTCAGTGTCATGCAGGTTGGCTCAGAATAAGTTTATATTCAAGGTTTTATGTGAATTAAATTAATATATTAGAAGGTTGTACTGACAGCAAGATCATGGTGAATTTATAGTTTACCCTTTACAACATCAACAATATCTTTGTGAACTTTTTCTGCTGGCAGTTTTGAAGGATGAGTGTGTGGCAGAGGAGCCTCCTTGGAGCCTGTGGATGGATTCAGACTCAGGTTTGCCATTACAGTATAGAGCAGGTGAACTGGATAAGGAAAACTGGAGATGGCACCGAAGAAAAGGAAGACACTTTATGACTGCCAAGCTCTTGGGCGGAAGGTCAGTCCTGGAGACCAGTTATAAATAAGGATAAGGATAATCACCTTTATTGGCCAAGTATGTTACACACACGGAATTTGTTTCCGGTACAGAACCGATGGCAGCCATCTGCAGGCGCCACCTCAACCGATGGCTCTAAACATTGGGGGCAACGGGGGGGTTCAGTGTCTTGCCGAAGGACACTTCGACACATGGACCAACCTTCTGGTTGGGAGACAACTGCTCTACCCACCACACCACTGTTTTACAAACTTAAAATTAGGTTTCACTGAGGGTCAGGGGTCTTTCTAGAATGTCTAACACCCGTTCACAACATTAACAAATAAAAAAAACTGGGAAAAAGAGGGAAAATATATATTTGTACTGTAACTTTCCCCTTAACTGGTAATTTGGAGGCTGTGACTGGATGCCAACATTCTGCGTTGTGTCCATGTGGTTCTGTTTTGGAACAGATGGCTTCTTGCACATCCTTTTCAAAGCCCTGATGCTTATGATGATCTGGTGCTAATGAGCCAGAAGATTAAGCATTTTCTTATTTGTGAAACCTATTTTAAAGTAGGCCCAGTGTATAACTTATACACTGGGCCTACTACTTGTTGTATATTTAGTTTTAGCCCAACTCTACATTTCACGTTTATTTATTAATACAATAATTAAAATCAGTATAATATTAATGATTATTATTTCTTTAGATTTCTTGTTTTATTTTAAAATCAGCTGTCAATCACTGACCTGTCAAGTTCAGTCCAAAAGTCCTGACCTCAGTCCCGCCCTCCTAGCCAACGGGACGTTTGTCCGTGTGTGCTCCCGGCCTCTGATTGGGTAGATCCTGATCGGCTGTGGAAGAGAGAGGGGGGTAAAGACAGCAAGCGAGAAAAGGTAGAGGGAGCTTCAGCCAGAGTGGGAATGATCAGCGGAGGAGAGCGGTAGGTCTTCAGTCTCAGACACGGGAACAGAGAGAGACCGGCGGCTGTAAAATCACAGGTAAAAACAGCATATAGAAAAGAAAGAAACTCACTCTTCTTCTTCGGTTTCTACTCCACTATGGCGGGCTCCTCCAACACCCCTCTGTCCCGGACCACCAGTGCGCCCTCCGACCCTCTCTTCCATTCTGACGTGCCTTACAGCGCTTCAAACGCGGCCAGCTCCTCGTGCCTCCCCTCTGCCCCCCTCTCCGGAGCGTTCTTGAGCGGCAGAGTTCCGGCCAGAGTGAGCGGGACGAGCGGCAGCGGGGGCAGCGGCGCTGCTCTGCACACCGAGTGTAGGATGGTAGAGTTGCACGGTGTGAAAGTGGCGTCGTTCACGGTGAATGGTGCGGACCTGATCTGCCTGCCTCAGGCGTTCGAGCTGTTCCTGAAAGACTTGGTGGGGGGGCTGCACACCGTCTACACCAAGCTGAAGCGGCTGGACATCTACCCGGTGGTGTGCACAGTGGAGCAGGTCCGCGCCCTGCGGGGGCTCGGGGCCATCCAGCCCGGGGTGAACCGCTGCAAACTCATCACCAGGGGCGACTTCGAGACGCTGTACCGGGACTGCACCAACGCCAGGTGAGCGGGGGCACGGAGCAGTGTTTCTACACGGGTATTACACTGAAATCCCGTGTCCAGTTGAGGGGTCATCTGTCGAGGCTACACCTGCTTAACTCTGAATATGTCCACCGCTGGACATATAGTGGCATATAGGCTACTCAAAATATTTAGACCCTGGTTTGTTTCCTCAGAGGGAAAGA